GAGCGTATTCTTATACATATTCCAAAGATAATTGAGCTACAAGGTGGTAATGAGTATATAGAGGGGAGAGATAGGCGTTGTGTAGGAGAGCGGCCAGATTTCGGCTAAATTATTCTTGGCAGGACAAAACTTTTGTGAGGCACCTCCGTACACGTATCAAACAGCCCATCGTATTCCCCCGTTTCCCATCTAACCCGAACATCTAGCCCAAGCACGAGCTACTGGAGGAAAAGAAAAACAAGAGCCAGATCCACCAACATGACTGTGTTCCGCCCCGCAGCCCACGTCCTCATCACAGGCGGCGCCTCAGGCATCGGGTACGCCGTGGCGCAGCTCTGCCTCAAGCACTCGATGCGCGTCACCATCACCGACATCAGCACGGCGGCGCTGGAGAAGGCGCAAACGTCGCTCCAAGGCAGCGTGACATGCATCCAAGCCGACGTGTCGTCGCGGGGCGACTGGCAGCGCGTGAAAGCACAGGTGCCCGACGTGCATTTCCTGATGCTGAATGCGGGCGTGGGCGGCAAAGGGACGTGGGGCGACGACGACTATTTCGACGGTATCCTGCGCGCCAATCTCGGCGGCGTCGTACACGGGCTGAATGCATATGTGCCGCTGATGAAGAGCGAGACACAAGCCCCAGACAAGGCCAAGGAGAATAATTCCAGGGCCATTGTCATCACCGGAAGTAAGCAGGGCATTACGAATCCCCCCGGAAACCCCGCGTACAATGCCAGCAAGGCGGCGGTCAAGACGCTGGCCGAGCATCTGAGCTACGATCTCAAGGACACGAATGTGGGCGTGCATTTGCTTGTGCCTGGGTGGACGTTTACTAGACTGGTAAGTTGTGCAGTCTTCCCCGCCACGCACATGGATACATGAGCCGTGGCGTGTTTGCTAATGCACAGAAGGTAGGCGGGCAATGTGTCTGGGTCCGAGACGGAGAAGCCAGAGGGCGCGTGGTGGCCGGCGCAGGTGGCAGACTACATGTATGCCAAGATGCAGGCGGGCAAGTTCTACATCATCTGCCCGGATGGCCAGGTGACCGAGGAGACGGACAAGAAGCGCATGCTGTGGAGCGTGGGCGACATCGTCAACGAGCGGCCTCCGCTGACCAGGTGGCGTCCAGAGTACAAAGAAGAAGCGGAAAAGACCATGGCAGAACAGAAGCTATAGGTAGGGAAGAGAGCAAAAAGATCAAACAATGGTATTACGATTATGAGGCCTCCGGCGAATGGGTATCTATATCTCGCGGCTCTTGTTCTATCCAGACTCCCAACCAAACATCCTTCAACGCCTTGCCTGCCATTACGGCTTGGTGCCGTTTGCAGCAAGAGTACTCAAATCTTCTTTTGCAGTCTCAAATCTCTCAACAGACGGTCTCTCTGCTTTGTTCTCGTCGCTTGTATCATTCTCGCTTTCTCCATTGCTGAATAGCCCTGCCCCTGGCACCATGAGGGAATTTCGGTGATGGGCTGATGCCTCCCCTTGAAGCACTTGGGCGTTGAGTCCATCAGAAGTAGATTCAGTGTTACCAAATTGCATCTCTTGTCCGTCTCCGTCAACAGCAGGTGGGGTGGTGATGGTTACACTAGCCAGCGTCACTGTGCTGGCATTGACATCTCTTCCGTCCGCCCCATCGATCTTGAGACGGAACGGATACGCTATTCCACCTGCTGTAGGTCGCGTTGTCGAGGTATCAGTACTGGGAATGATTGTACTGGGCAGGGCGGGATTATCCGAAGCAATCACATTCGGCGGTGATCCAGAAGTATGGTGCTCGCCCACCGGCGATGGTAACTGTGAAGCAGAACGCTCGGGCGCCAGCGTCGTTGCGTCAGCAAGACCAGGTTTTGGGAGCCCAATCTGAGACAAGCCATCCCCGTCCGCCTCGATCTGACCCTGGTCAGTGACAGCTGAGTGACGAGAATACGATCTTGCGCGTTTCGTGTGGGGCTTGGGAAGGCTCGTGGCGCGAGTCCGGGGAAGACTTGTGGCACGACTTCGGTTCGGCTTGCTTTCTGCTGTGTCGTCTGTTTCTGCGTGGTCGGGATTCTGCACGCCCGTGGGGGCCTGATCTGCTTTCCCTTCTCGCACAATCTGTCAATGTTAGCCAAAGCCATGAGTCGGTCAGTATGTGTTGCCGTGGTCGACTTACGGTAGCCTGGTCGTGGGAACTACCCCAGCCTGACCACATTGCCATACCCCAACTCTTCTTCTTTGCCTTTTCACCCTTCATGCCCTTTGCTCGCCTTCCGGCCAGGGCTGTGGGAGGCGGTGTTTCGCCATCAAAGCCCTCAAACCCTCTCTGCATGTCCTTGATTCTCTGTTTTTGGATTTTGATCTTCTGCTTTGCAAATTTCTTGTTCCATTCTGCCTGCGCCGCCATCCACTTGTTTACAGGACCCGATTTTGGCACTCCGACGTCCTCGCTAGGAATGTTGAGAGCAGGGAGGTCCTCTTTAGCAGCGAGTGGATAGATCCGCCCATGCCGATCAATACGTTGACGAATCATATGGTCCTCGAAACGCGGAATCGGGTCCCCAGCTTTTCCAACGCGGGTGTTTGGCTTGGGCTCTTTCTCAGATGTTGAGGCATCCAGAGGCAAGGTAGCTGATGTCGATGGGTTGGGATCGCTGGAGGATGCGGGGTTCGCTCTTCCAGAGTCAGTTGAAAGGCTCGAGTCACTACTGAGGTAGGAGATGTCATCGTCATCGAGTATGTCAATGGCTTTCTTTTGAGCGCGCGCCAGTGCCCAGGCGCCGAATTGGGCAATGCTGCGGTACATGTGCTTTGCTGGGCGCGTGAAGCTGAGTGTAGGACACACATGGCACAGGTCATCCCAGACCTGGAGCTGTACGTAAGTAGGCCTGTAGTTGGCAACCTGATCTTCAATCTCTTGGGCCGTCTGGTTATTAGACGGCGGTGGTATGTAGGCAAGTGGCTGGGCAGCTTTGTGAGCAATGTAAATTTGCTCGTCTCTAAGCAGCTCACCACCGCCCGTTTGGATTAGCAGAGGGGGTAGACCCCCAAGGGTTGGCTGCAATACTGGAGATACCAGAGGATGCGTCAGAATGTGATTGGGGGCGTACATCTGGATCTGGTCCTTGATCTCGACACGCACGTTTTCCAATTGCACTGAGAGCTGGCTTTTTGGCCCAATACTGTATTTACCATTTGGCGCGATCCAGACGTCTGCGTCTTGCCCTGTACCGGAAGAGGCTGAGCCGCCATTTTCAATAGGGCCATCCTTGGGGTCAACAGAAAACCCGCGCACTCGCTCTGCTTCTGCCGCTGCCTTTTTCTCTTGGCTTTCCTCTTTGCTTGGTTCGTCATTCTTCTTTGAGGCAGCCTTGGCTGAGGATTCGATTTCGAGCATATCGTCTGCATTTGGGGGCGCTGGAACGAGTCAGTGGCCGGATTCACGATGGTGAAAAAGACAACTTACGCCAGCTCATGCTGGGTTTGTGCACGAAGCCATGTGATGGAATGTAGTCCATTTCCCCATCGCCGGCCAAGCTTGGAAAGCTATGCGTAAGATCCACCCACGGGCTGATCAGGATGGCTCCCGCGGGCAGCGGTATGCCCTGGTCCCGCAGCGTTACTAGCATGCTCAAGACCATGCCACCTCCTGCCGAATCGCCGGCGAGAATGATGGTGGTCGGGTCATGCTTCTGTTCGAGGAGGTAAAGATATGCGGCCAGGCCTGCGACTGTCAGTACGGGATACAACAGCAGCTGGCGATTCGGCTACTCACAATCATGCAAACCGCACGGAAATGGAAACTGCGGGGCTAGTCTATATCTGGGGGCCAGGACCCTGGCCTTGAGCTTACGGGCATGTCTCTGCATCTGATAGCGGTGCTCGTCGACACTGCCAAAGTAGTAGGCGCCGCCATGCACATAGAGCATGATGCGGTCGCCCTTGGCAATGGCCAGCTGCTTTCGTGCGTCAAAGTCCTTGCGCATCTCGATCCATTCTGCCTTGAGCGTGCCATCGTCGCGCCGCCACTGCCACCACGAGGTTCCGCCGACAGCCTTGATGCCCTGGGGGCCTAATTGGGCGGTGATGTGCTCCGCCGAGCGCTGCAGCAGTTTGGCAGAAATGTCGACTTCCTGGGCATGCACCCAGCGCGGCACGGGAACCCATTGCGAGGTGAATGCCTGCAGCTCATCGACGGTGTGGAGCGAGGAATAGTGGAGGAAGCGGCGGATGAGCTCGAGACCCTCGTGGTAGGATATGTGGGCCGTGGGCTTCTGAGCAAGGGGGCGACGGTTTAGGTAATGCGAGAGATAGGTGTGGATGACGGTAGGCGTGACGGCGGCTGCGACAGATATTGTGTTGACTGGCATGGCGGATCGGATTTCAGGGGGTTACTGGGGGCGTCGGGATGAGTGCGGCCGCGGACGCGCCGGAAGCAGCGTGTAGGGCGAGGGCGGCAGGCTGGGGGGATGTTCTGGCGCAAAAGAAAAGCGTGGTGCGCGCTCAACAAAGGAAAAGGCGCCCGAGGAGGAAGAGCACGGGGGGCGGGCGCTCGAAAATGGATATGCGTGGGTGCATGCGTGGGTGTGTGTGTGAGTTCATGTCGCTCAGGGGGACATTCGAGTAGAGGCGGGTGGAGAAGGTCCCCGGATTTGCGTATCGTGCAGGCGCGGCTGAGGCCCACTTAGCGACGTCATCGTCGAGACCCTTTGCACGCTTGTCCCTATCCTGCCGCCCTGCAGAAACAGAAGCAGTCTGGCCAGCCATGCTGTAACTCTGCACTCATCCCCCGAGCATGCTTTCTTTTGTCTGCGGCGGCTGCATATGCAGCCATGGCTGCTAGCTGTATACACCTACTCCTATATAGGTGCAGTCCCAGCTGCTAGCCTCCAGCCATGGGCTTTCCTCGGCGATCAGTGGCAACGAGGCGTTCCGCGGCATACATACATGTAGTGTACATAGATGTACGTAGGCGTACATGTCGTCGGGCTGGCCTAGACTGCTTGGGCAGAGACAGGGAAAACAAAAACCAGTTGGCCGCCAGCATGTCGGCGTCAATCTCGCTGTCACAGTACATGCGCATGCAATGTTCACATGTGCTGATGCTACCTGGTCTTGTGCCCATACATGTAGATGCTCGAATCTGCGGGGGCGTGCTGCAGGCTACACACCCCATGCCACGCTTAGTCATTAGCGGAACTGACTAAGCTGATTCCGTCCTGCATCGCATTCTGCTGCTGCGCCGGTAACGGAACCACAAACTCGACCAACACGCTGCCGTGACAGCGACTCATGCATACACGCACCCGCCATGCACGAATTTGTCTCTTTTTTTTTAATCAGCCCTGCGTCGTCCAATCACCACCCACCGGCGTTTTCAGCGGCTCTCGTGTAGTCGACCCACGCCAAGCATGTGCCAACGCATGCATGCAAGTCCTTTAAACGGTGTGCTGCGCGTTTATTCATCCCACCCGCCCTGCCCGAGCGGCTATCATGCTATGCCGAGTCAAGCAGCTCATTCCACTGCCACTGTCACTTGCCCTTGCGCAAGGGTGGATCCCATCGGGTACGCGCCGCTGTCAAGCACAGTCTTTTCCACGGCCCGGCGCGGGCGTCTCACGGCAAAAGTGACGGCTCTACTCTTTTATGCGCAAATTCTGCTCACTCAACCTGTGCCTATGGCCAATGGAAAAATACCTTTACAGACAAAACCCGTCTGCCGGTCCGCGGAAGCTGCAAGGCCTTCCGTCACATTGGGATATGTTGTGCATTAGTACACCACATGCACAACATGCACCACCAACCCCCATGTGCCATACCCGCGTATGAGGCGCTAGCCTCGTGCACATGTCAACCGCCCTCTAGTGGCTCGATTGTCTAGCCCGCCATAGCCAGAGAACGCGTAACGCGCCTCGACGTGGGATCCTATCGTACAGCCTGGCTGAAATCGCCGAATACGCCATGCTGCTAGTTTCCCAAGCCATGTCTTGCACGTCCTTGGCATCATTGACCATTGTCGCAAAACCTACCATCAGAGAGACCCTACAGCTGTCACCTGAGTGTTGTCAATTTTTTCCCCAGTGCACATCTACAAGCGCATTAGACTCCACCAAGATGCTGGCAGAAGAGCAGTCCACCCTCCTACAGCTCGCTAAACAAGTCCAGTCTTTGACTACGCAGATTGTCAATGACTTGAGTGAAAAGAACATACCAGAGCCGTCCTTCGCAACCGACTCGAGCGCCCTCCCTGAATCTCCCGAGCACATTGACCTACGTGTTCGTCTCAACGACAAGGCTCGCGACTTGCTGCGTCTTATCAATGGTCCCAAAAATGACGCACGCACGTTTGTGTGTTACCTGTATGACTTGACTGCCTGGCAAGTAGCCTGTGAATTCAACTTCTTCGAAGCTATCCCCGAGAATCAATCAGCAACCATCGAGGAAATTGCACAAAGAACCGGCATAGACCAAGACCGTGCTGCCCGCTTTTTACGCATGCTCTGTTCAGACCGAGTGTTTGAGGAGACCGAGAAAGATGTCTTCAGGCACACATCCAGAAGCATCCTGTATCTCCACGACACACAATGGAGGGACGTGATGCATTACCAGTACGTGCTTGAGGTGCATCGACGAGCAGCTTGTTTACTGATCTATTCAGGCTTGATGAGTTCTTCAAGGCTGCTTCGGAGACGTCGGAGAGCATCAAGCAGTCACCCACAGTAGTCAATGGTCAAACAAATGCATTCGTCACAAGGCACGGCAAGAGTCTTTTCGAATACTACAAACACGATCCCAAACGAGCTGCACGATTCGCCAGTGCAATGGCTGGCGTGTCCAGACGTAGGTAGCAACGACTCTCACTGCCATGTATCTGCAATACTGATTAATTTAGTGGAGAGGCATTTCGGAATCCTCAGGGATAGTTTTCCTTGGGGCCAAATCAGCGGCCGCAAAGTTATCGATGTCGGTGGCGGCAGTGGACACATGAGCGTCAATCTTGCTCGGGTATGTACATCGGGTATCCGGGAGTCTATTTCACTTTACTAAACCTCACGGCAGACTTTTCCGAACCTTGAACTCATTGTTCAAGATTCGCTAAGCATGCTTTCTTCGGCCTCGCAAAACGACTTTTCAGATCTCAATGGACGCGTCACTTTTATGCCGCATGATTTCTTTAGTCCTCAGCCAGTAACGGGGGCTGCGGCATATCTACTGCGGTATATCACACATAATTGGAGTGACGAAGACTGCATCCGCATCTTCCGGGCACTCGTTCCTGCACTGGAGAAAAGCCCAGCGGGGACTCCATTGCTGATCAACGATGTGGTACTTCCGGCACTTGGCGAAGCCTCTCTTTACCAGGAAAACCGCATGCGGCAAGTGGATATTATGATGATGTTGGTTCTTGGTGCGAAGCAGCGGACCGAGGAAGAGTTCGGCCGCCTCCTCTCCAACGCCGACACACGATTCAAGGTGGGCAGTGCAGCAGCCCAAGCTTCCCGCACGGTACTGACATTGAGCGCAGATCAAGAGCATTCATGGCAAAGGCAACATGAGTCTTATCGAGGCGTATCTTGACGTCGAAGACTCTCGCGAGTCAGCGCTGCCAGCTGACGCTGCCGACCTAGGTCTTGAACCGTTTGCGGCACAGCAGCACGTAGACGCCCTCTCCACAAGCAGTAAACGTAGTGGGGCTCGTATGTAAGGGAGCTCGCTTTTGTCAGTTTAGCCCGTCACGCCACATGACTGCAAGTGCAAAGTGAGCCTGGTGCCGGCAGTATTGCGGTACAAGCACCCTACTGCACGATTATGTAGCTGCATCCCATTCCCATCTGCAACTTTGCTTCCCCTCACCGTGGCGAGATTGCTTGTGCATAAGATTTTGGTCAGGGATGGGAAGAAGGAATGCGCTTGTGGGGGGTAATGATGGTGGTGGTGGTGGTGGTGGTGGTGGCCGGCTGGACGTGTTGGTCATAACGCGGACGACAAAGGGTGTCGTCGGCCAGTTGCCCCTCACCATGATCTCGTTCCCCTTCTTCACAATGCCCTTGTTAGTCGATCTTACACGACGCCCATCAACCACTCAGACGAGGCTCTGGCCAATGCAGGTAGCAAGATCGAACCAATCCCGGAAATAGTACCCATGTGCTGTTTTTACAAAATCCCGGGTTCCACCCACGCCACTGCTCTAGCTTCACACCCATCTCGCTTCTTTTCCACTCAATCCCATCATCGTGCCACCTCCCTGCTCCTTGCATTGTAGCTGCAGCTTAGACGCCTGGGGTTTTGTAATCGTCCACAAGCAAAGCTTTAGGCGCCGCCTCCCTACGTCCGGCTCACCGCTCGTCGTTTTCCAGAAAGGGATGCCTGTGGCACAGCCGTCATCGCACGGGATCATGGACAACATCGACCAACGTCTGGCATCGACTAGGCTATGCCATAACAGGGTTTTGGCAAGCCGAAGCCCCACCGAACATGGCATCAAAAGCAACCAACAGCCTACAAACACGTAACACCATAAAGGACAGTACTGCCCTTGGATGCTGCTTTGCGCAAGGGACCTACCGCCCCGGTTCACCGTTCGCGCATGCATGTACCTGAAGGATATGGGCTTCCTAATCAATGCAACATTACAGCGCTTCTGTGTCTTTTCAGGCTGATCAATGCAAACCCAGTCGCAGAGAACTGTTACTGGACGTGCAACTGCCACTCCATGTGGCTACACCTATTCATCTCTAACCATGTGAGTCTAGGCGGGCCGTCTCCCCATCTCCAAAAGATGGCTAAATCCTGAATCCTGTTTTACGGAATCAACCCCCTTCGTTACGCCGACGTGACCAGGATTTGGCGGCTCTTTTTCTCGCTAAGGATTTCATGCAACGCGTGGTATGTGGAGAATACTGCAGCAATTCCGTGCCGCTTGATAAGTTATCCACACACACACACACACACACATGCACACATGCACACATGCACACCCACACGCCCACACGCCCACACACCCACACACAGGAGGAGCAGCAGCTCCATCCAAGATGCGCCTAGTTTGTGGCAACTGAGCCTTTGACCTTTAACTTGGACATTGTCTCAGGCTGCCATCTAACACTGTCCAGCACTTTTATTCCACTGTTCAAGAGCTTCTGTTGTATCGACATGCTGATGCAACTTGTTTTAATACCTTAAGTTGAGCCTGAACCTAACCCCCCTGTAACAATACCATTTAGCCAAACACGTTTCCTTGCGGAAATGGCGTGCCGAGACTCCAAGCCAATGCCGATCGCCATTCTAGGCTTCGGCTGCCGATTCCCAGGCGATGTCACAAATGGACAGAAGCTATGGGATATGCTGGTAGAGAAGAGGACAGCACGTACAGAAGTTCCTCAAGATCGCTACAATGTTGATGCGTTCTGGAACCCCGATGCAGACCGTTACGGTACAGTAAGTTGATGAGACTTCTCGACCAAATAGACTACTCTAACCTGATAAACAGTGTAACAACCGTGGCGGACACTTTCTTACAGAAGATGTCGGACTCTTCGATGCACCTTTCTTCTCCATAGCGCCGGCTGAAGCCATGGCCATGGACCCAATGCAACGGTTACTGCTCGAGGTGACGTACGAGGCATTCGAGAACTCGGGCCTGCCCCTGTCTAAAGTATCAGGATCCAAGACATCATGTTATGTCGGATGCTTCACAAAAGACTACGAGGAGATGCAGCGAAGAGACATGGAGCTGGCTCCAAAATACCAGTCAACAGGAGCATCCCAGACTATGCTCTCTAACCGTCTGAGCTACTTCTTCAACCTCAAGGGGCCCAGTGTAAGCTTAGACACAGCCTGCAGTAGTGGACTTGTTGCCGTCCACCTGGCCTGTCAAAGCTTGCAAACAGGTGAAAGCACCATGGCAGTTGCCGGGGGCAGCAACCTTATCCTAAGTCCAGACATCCAGATTGAGATGTGTGACATGCATTTTCTGAGTCCAGACTCTATCTCGCACGCCTTCGACGCTCGAGCTAATGGCTATGCTCGCGGAGAAGGCGTTGGCGCAATTATACTGAAGCCACTGGATCTAGCACTGCGCGACAACGATCCCATTCGAGCTGTCATTCGCGGCACAGCAGCCAGTTCCGACGGCCGAACACCTGGCATCACCATGCCTTCGAAAGACGCCCAAATCGATCTGATACGATCGGCATATCTTTCGGCAGGTCTTGACGTAGACGACACAGGGTACTTTGAAGCCCATGGGACGGGAACGGCTGCTGGGGACCCGATCGAGACTGGCGCAATTGGCGAAGTTTTTGCCGCAAGCCGCACACGCCACCATGCCGAAGGCATTAATGAGGCGGCATCCTTGCTTGTTGGCTCTATAAAAACAAATATTGGCCATCTGGAGGGCGCTAGTGGCATTGCTGGAATCATAAAGGCAACCCTCAGCGTCGAGAAGGGTATGATTGCGCCAAATCTTTGGTTTGAGCGCGGCAATCCAGACATAGACTTTGAAAAATGGCGGATCGAGGTGCCCACAGAGCCCAAGGATTGGCCGTCTCACGGATTGCGACGTGCCAGCATCAACTCCTTTGGGTACGGAGGAACAAACGCACATGTCATCCTTGACGATGCCTATCATGTCCTACAGCATCTCGACCGTTCCATCGGCCGCACAAGGGCCGACTCTGGCTTTGTCAGTCCCGTCAGCCCTGGCCTCAATCATTCTTTTGTCACTGCCTCAAGGCCAAGGGTGTTTCTGCAGTCGGCCAACGACGAGAAGAGCTTGATTCGAATGGGTCAAGACCTGGCATCCTATCTTCAAGAGCAGGCTGTCTTCAACGAAGAAGAACTGCTGGATAATCTTGCTTACACTTTGAGTGAGCGTCGCTCGCGCTTCGCCTACACTTCTGCCGTTGTTGCAAGCAACAAGCATGATCTCCAAACAAAGCTGCAAAGCATACGCGCCACATCTGCTGCCTCAACAACACCACCAAGAATAGGCTTCATCTTCACTGGACAGGGGGCTCAGTGGTGGGGTATGGGGAGGGAGCTGCTCCAATATCCAGTTTTCCGGCGAACCTTGCAAAAGTGCGACACTGCCGTTGCAAAATTGGGCTCAGAATGGTCACTCATGGAAGAGCTGCTCAAACCTCAAGCTACTTCAAGAGTGAACGAGGCAGCTTTCAGTCAGCCCCTTTGCACTGCCCTCCAGGTTGCACTTGTCGATCTCCTCGCATCATGGAATATCCTACCTCAATGTGTGGTTGGCCACTCCAGTGGTGAAATCGCTGCCGCGTACGCCACTGGTGCACTGGGTCTCCAATCAGCTATGAGCGTTGCCTATTTCCGCGGCGCTCTCTCTTCCAAAGTGAAGGGCATGGGATACGAGGGACGCATGATGGCCGCCGGTCTATCCGAAGAAGAAGTCATTCTCGAAATTGAGAAAGCCAGTAATGGCACTGAGAAAGTCGTCGTCGCTTGCGTCAACAGCCCACGCAGCGTTACGATTTCCGGTGATGCCGCAGCTATTGAGAATCTGCACAAGGCCCTGGAAGCAAAGGGTGTCTTTGCAAGAGTGCTCCAAGTAGACACGGCATACCATTCTCATCACATGCAGGCAATTGCACACGAGTATCTTGCTCGTCTCAAAGAGGCAAATGTCACTGTGCTCAGCTCAGATAGCCGTGTAACAATGGCTTCCTCCGTGACCGAGGAGATTGTGGAAAACAAGTCCTTGGGCGCAGAATACTGGGTGTCGAATCTCGTCCAGAGCGTCCGCTTCTCAGGAGCACTGACGAAGCTTTGCACGAGCGATGCGCATGCTGTAGACATTCTACTCGAAGTAGGGCCCCACGGCCTCTTCAAGGCCCCCGTAAAGGAAATCCTACAAGCCGCTTTCGGGGAGACGTCCCAAATCAGGTATTTGTCTACTCTTATGCGGAACAAACCTGCGGATCTTACTGCTCTCGAGGCGGCCGGCCAGCTCGTATCCTGCGGCCATGTCGCCGACTTGAGAGCGGCTAACTTTCCCAATGCGCCCAAGCAGGCGCTTTCAGTACTGACGGATCTGCCTCAGTATCCCTGGAACCATACACGTCGCTACTGGTACGAATCTCGGCTGAGCCGTGATTATCGGTTCCGTCGTTTTGCCCGGACCGATCTACTCGGAGCACCTGTCAGCGACTGGAATCCCATGGAGCCCAGGTTCCGCAACTTTTTGCGGCTTCGTGAGCAGCCTTGGCTCAAAGATCATGTTGTCCAGGGCGTGGTGCTGTTCCCGGCCTGTGGCTATCTCTGCATGGCGATTGAGGCTTGCAGGCAAATGGCAGTCATCTCTCCATCTACGTTTCTGCCCCCGCGTGCAGACAGCGTGATGGAGTATCGACTCCGTGAAATCAGCATATCACGTGCGCTCGTCGTACCCGAGGCTGATGAGGGCGTTGAGATTGTTCTTTCGATGCGCTGCCCACCGCAGGACGGCAGCTCTCCTGCAGGTGTGTGGAGCGAGTTCTGCATATTCTCATACACCGCAGACGGCGGCTGGGCAGAGAATTGCCGCGGTCTTGTTTCCGTATCGGCGCAGGCTACTACGGACGACGAGCTTGCGCAGGAGTGCCTTGCGGATTGGACTGCAGCACACTCAGGTGGTGTGCGGGGTCTTGAGGCCAAGACGTTTTATCGAAGCGTTGATGCCTTAGGCCTCACATACGGACCTACGTTCCAAGGTCTGCAAGACATTAGCGTGAATTCGGCAGTTCGCGGACAGGCTGCGGGAGTGGTCCAGGTGACTGACACAAAAGCCACCATTCCAAAGGCGTTTGAGCATGATCGGTTGCTGCACCCAGCTACTCTCGACACCTTCTTGCAGCTAGGATTGGCCGCGCTGGGTGGGGCTGAGATGAGCCAGCTCAGAAGTGCCATGGTGCCGACTTTCATCGAAGAGATGACTGTATCTGCAGACATTGCAGCACAGATTGGTGATCGCCTCAACATCCTGGCCACTGCACGACGGCTTAGTGCACGGGATGCCCTTGGTGATATTGTCGCTTTGGATCCGAACACTTCAAGACCAGTTGTCCTCATGGATGGCTTCAAGTTTGTCACGATCAACTCTAGCAGTGACTCCAGTGACGTAGAAGCTCCGCCAAAGCATTGCTACCAGGCGGTTTGGGAGCCGGACGTGGAGTTGGTCGAGCCCTCGGATCTGAACCGTGAACTACAGGCAGTGCCACGAGTGGACAATCGCTCACGGTCTGTAAAGGACCTGGAGCTTCTCTCCTACTATCTCGTCGACAAAGCAATTCGTGAAGTCGACGAGAGCGAGATGTCTGCGATGCTGCCTCATCACAAAAAACTCTACCAGGCCTTGTGTGACATTCGAGGCACCGTTCTAGACAAGACACATCCTGCACAGACGGAAGAGTGGCAGAAACTGCATAGCCCAGAAGTCACATCGAAGCTCGAGGCTATGATCAAGCACTACAATGAAGACCAAACAGCATACGAAGGCAGGTTGCTCGTCCGGATAGGTCAGGCACTGCCGTCTATTTTCCGGCAAGAAGTCGAGCCCCTGACGCTGATGACGCACGAGAATCTCCTAGAGAATTACTACGGCACCGCAGTCGGCATGCCCAACGTATACGCCCAGATCTCTCGCTTCACGTCGATGCTCTCCCACAAGTATCCCAACCTTGACTACCTCGAGATCGGCGCAGGCACTGGTGGCGCAACAGTCCCTACGCTCAACGGCCTGAGAGGCTATGAAGGGCTACACACGTACCCTCGTCTGAAGTCATACACCTACACTGACATTTCCTCGTATTTTTTCGACCGCGCAGCAGAGAAGTTTGACGAGTTTTCTCAATTCATCAACTTCAGAAAACTCGATGTGGAAGATGACCCTGAGACGCAGAACTTTGTGCCCGGCTCGTACGACGTGATTGTTGCAGCAAACGTGCTCCATGCGACTACTGATATGCACCGCACAATGACACATGTGCGGAAGCTGCTCAGGCCAGGCGGGAAGCTTATCCTTCTGGAGATGACCAACCGTTTGATCGCTGGCTCCGTCATCTTCGGCACGCTGCCCGGGTGGTGGAATGCCGTTGAGCCCTGGCGAGTCGGCGGTCCTCTGCTGACGGAAAGCCAGTGGGAAGACGTTCTCCAAGCCACGGGCTTCAGCGGTCTTCAGGCAAGCAGCCCCGATGCTCTTGACCCGCTGGAAGAGGGCACCAGGCTCATGATTGCCACTGCGGTTGAAACCAAGCCCGTCATCTCTCACGGCTTGGCGACTCCGCCAGAAAACCCCCGCTTCTTCATTGTATGCCCTGACTCTGGGATTAGAATGAGCAGGCTGGACATCCCACTTGCTCTGAAGACAAGACTGGAACGGGCTGGCCACCAAACACAGCTCACGACACTGAACAAACTCAATCCGCGAGTTCTTGTCCACTCAATATGCATCAGTTTTGTCGAGCTCGACGACGCTCTCATGGCAAACCCCACGCCCAGGGAATGGGATGTCCTCCACCAGATCACAGACAGCGCAGAAGCCCTGATATGGGTGACCCGTGGCGGCGCGTCTTCGACTATCGAGCGCCCCGAACTAGCCATATTCTCAGCCTTGGCTCGCACCATTCGTGCAGAGCACGACGGGTTCCCCTGCATCACCGTCGATCTGGATGCCAGAGAGCAGCTGCCTGCCCGTCAAGTCGCCGAGCTTCTACTCAGGCTCTACAACAAGCAGCTTGGGCCCGACCGGAGCGCTGGCACGTTGGATAGCGAGTTCATCGAGCAACATGGCGTGCTTCGCATCAAGCGCGCTATCGAGGATGACAAGGCAAACGAGTTCCTGACCGCGCGTACTCATCCAGAAGTACTGCCCCCGAAACCAGAGGATGTGTTGCTAGAAAATCGTCCGCTCAAGTCTTGTACCATCGATGCCAGCGCGGATGGCCCTCTGGTTTTCGAAGAAAATCTCGAACTGGCGCTTCCTTTGCAGAGCGGTCAAGTCGAGATTAAAATCCAGGTTACAAGTCTCGGGCCTCGCGACGTTGCCACGATCAAGGGTGAAGGCTCAGACTCCAAGCTCGGACATGAGTGTGCGGGCATTGTCACCCAGGTTGGTGTAAACGTCAAGAACGTTGCAGTGGGAGACCGAGTCGTGGGCTGGTATCCTGGGACTTTTGCCACGAGAACCCGTATTCCAGCAGCTTTCGTGTCTAAGATGCCCGATGGGGCAAGTTTCGAGACTGCTGCTACCTTGCCGTTGTCTCATGCCACGGCTCAATATGCTCTGAGCCATATTGCTCATCTAGAAGACAGTGAAGCCATTCTGATCCACGAAGCTGCTGATGCTGTGGGCCGAGCTGCCATTGAGATTTCGTCGAGAGTCGGTGCGAACATCTTTGCTACTGTTCGGTCTGAAGAAGAGCGAGCTCTTTTGATTGAGCACTATGGCCTCGAAACCACGCGCATCTTTTCCAGCCGCGATATCAAATTCGTGGCAGGGATCCGACGAGCAACAAAAGGCCGTGGCGTCGACGTCGTGCTGAACACTATGACGGGAGAAGCGCTCCAAGCCACATTCAGCTGCGTTGCGCCTTTTGGCCGGTTTGTAGATCTAAACGTGCGATCAAGAGATCGCCTGGAAATGGCGCCTTTCGAGCGTAATGTGTCGTTTTCCTCTGTCGACATGACACTGCTGTACAACCAGAGGCCGAAGCTTGCGAGCAGGATGTTCCAGGAAGCCATCAAGTCTATCATGGCGGCAGAATCACTTCACAACTTGAGCGTGGAAGCCATGCCGTGGTCCAAATTCGATCAAGCGGTTAAGATGCTGCAGGACGGTCAACACCATGGCCCTGTTGTCATGGTGCCAAAAGCTGGTGATCAAGTCCTTGTAAGTCACTTCTCCAATACAACAAATTCACATAACCAAACCACTAACACTCTCCAGGTCGCTCAAAAGCCGCCATCGGAAACCTCACTCGACCCCTGCGCGTCGTATCTCCTCGTAGGAGGTCTTGGAGGTCTAGGCCGCAGTATCTCCCATTGGCTCATAGCCCACGGCGCCAAAAACCTCATCTTCATCTCCCGCTCTGGCGCCGTAACCCCAGCATCACAATCCTTCATCGCCTCGCTCCACGCCTCAGGCATCCGCACCTCCATCATCCAATGCGACGTCTCCGACGCGCTCGAGCTCTCAATCCACCTCTCCACAACCCTCGAAACCTTGCCGCCCATCAAGGGCGTCATCCAAGGCGCCATGGCGCTGCACGACGCGCTCTTCGCAAACATGACCGAAGAACAGTGGACGTCAACCCTCCGCTCCAAAGTCCACGGCTCCAAAAACCTACACGACATGACGCTCTCGCAACCCCTCGACTTCTTCATCCTACTCTCCTCACTCCACTCCTTCATCGGCAACCCCGGCCAAGCAAACTACGCCGCAGCCTGCGCGTACCAAGTCGCCCTCGCCCAGCACCGCACCCAGCACTCGCTACCCGGCCTCTCCATCGACCTGGGCATCGTCAGCGAAGTCGGGTACGTCGTCGAGCAGAGCGACACCCCCACCAGCAGCAGCAAGAAAGTCCGCGTACAAGACTTCAAGCGCGTCAACGAAAAAGAAATGCTCGCGCTACTCGAACTCGGGATCCGGAATCCCTCCATGGGCCACATCGTCAGCGGCCTGGATTATCCGCGCCACGCGGCGCACACCGTGAGAGACGACTTGCCGTTTTTCGCTCGCGACCCCGTGCTAAGCCACCTGGATTATCTGCGCGCGCATCTGCATCGCGAGACCAAGTCTGGCGGTGCAAATGACGGCACTGCTACTACTACTACCTCGACGACTCTCTCGCTCCCCGCGCAACTCGCAGCCGCATCCTGCTCTTCCGCCCGCAAATCGGTTGTCACGCATGCGCTGCTGAAGAAGCTGGCGCGCAGCTTGATGATGGATCCCGCGGAGATTGATCCCAGTCGCGGGATGAGTGCGTATGGCACCGACTCGCTTGTGGCGGTTGAAATGAAGAATTGGATTCAGCGCGAGACACACGTGAGTGTCAGTGTGTTTGAGATTCTGCAGAGTAGTAGTATTGGGGGGTTGGTTGAGCGGATTGTCGCCAAGATGGAGGGTGCGGTGGAGTAAGGTGGAGGGTGATGGGTAGGCGGTTTGGCGATTTGGCGTTTGGGTAGTTTTAGGGATGGGAATTTTGGGGGGTATGCGTGTTTTGGTGTGAGGATGCGTATGGCTATGGCTATGGCTATGGCTATGAACATGAGTATGAGTACGACCATGACCATGAGTATATATTTCACATTTCCACACTACACAAGTTGTACATACAGTAGTATCACGAAACATCATTTCTACATCTCTCTTTCCAATCAAATTCTTCAACCTCCTTACTTTCAGTCACATGTGATATCTTCCTACAATACTGCACAGCTCCATTATGCATTTCTCGGCTTACTGAATCGTCTTCTGTGACGAGCAATTCCTTTGATTCGTAAATGCTAAATACTTACTTGTTTGAAGCCTGGTATTCTCCTGCATAGTCGTCACAGTCATTGAAGTTTTGCAATACCAGAATGGTGGAAGGAGATGTACTAGGAGTATCACAGATATCAAGCCATGGAAACATGGACTCAATCGACGATATCAAAACACATTGACTCACACAATATTACGTCAAGCTAAACAAACGGATGAAATGCATCGTATTGGTGTAGAAGAAGAAGGGGTATCATATATCTGTTTTCCAAACGCCCCAAAAATGCATAGTCTGATCCACCAGATCTTCAAATGCTAATTTCCATCCTATCCCCGGCATCATCCACTCAGTCCGAATCATAGCCCACCAGTGCTGATAGCAAATCAGGCTTCTTGGCTGGAACCGTGTCATCCGTCTTGACAGACGGCGTCGTGGTACTTGTCTCCTTAACTGTAGAGTCTCTCTTCCTCTTTATGATACCCAAATTGACTCTCGATGCTGGACCACTGTCTTTTGAGAGAAATGGATCAATCGCTGCTCGGGTATTGCCGACCAGTGTTTGCTGTAAGCCCTGTCGACTCTTCTCTGCAGCTATCTCAGCCTTCAGCCTCTTTGTTTTTCCAACTGGCTCTGTAGTCTTGATGTTGTTTTCTTGCGCAAAAAGTGGCTTCCACGACGCATCTCCAAGCTCGTAATCCCCCGAGGCGCTTGCGCCAAATTCGACCAAGCCAGCACGCATGCGATCTGCCTCTGTCTCATCTGCAATATCGATTCCAAGACTGAATTTATCTTGCATGCCTTCTTTGTGTTTTTCTTCCTGCTTCCACACCTTCCTTTTTGCGCGAAAGTCTTTTCTAAGCCGCGCGTTGACATCGTACGGGTCCCGCCAAACTTCGCTCTTATCGTATAGTTCTTCAACTCTCTCCTTGTTTTTCTTCTCAATCCCCTTGTCTTCCAGTTTTCCCTCGAGGTTTGCAAAAGCATCCTCCCTCCGCTTTTGCCGTTCCTCTTCAGTCAAAAACTTGAGGTCGCCCTCAGCTTCTGGTCCTGCATTGCCTGGCCCATAGTCTCGTCGCCGTGCCCCCTCGACAACCTTGTACTCGCTGTTCTTTGGATCTGTTTGAATTTCCCACCACCCGCCACATGCACTGTGTTTCATGCGGAAGCTCCATATCGGCGTGCTGTAGTAGTTGCCAATCTTCTTTTTCTCGGCGTTAAAACGCACACCCTGACCTATGATAGCAGGAGGACTGCAGTGGTCGCACCATACGGCGAACGGAAGCTCGAAGCGGACGGTGAGGATACCCTGAGAGATCTTGTTTGCGCGCTTGCCAAGAGGGTGCGAGGTATTGTTGAAGCTCGGGGGGTTAGAAGCATCGGGCGGATAATACCGCCCCATATTGAAGCCCTGCATCTTTTGGGATAGTTGTGCGGGGAGTGCGCAGCGTGCGCTGTGTCATGGGGCATGCGTGTGTCGGGAATGGAAGGGGAGCGTCATTGGGCAGCCGCGGGATTTGGCCGCGGAGGTGGATGACATAAGCAGCAAGCTGAAGGATGAAGCAGTTATCTCATTAATCAGACGATTCTAGCGATAAGCGCTAATAATTAGCGCAGCGCTAAGAAACTTCTTAGCTATTTAATGCGCTAGCATGCTTACTAAAACTTTTATAAAGTCTTAAGCTAATTATAGTATAAAAAAGCTTATAACGTATTCCACCACCGAGAGTGCCACCCCACCGAGAGTGCCACTTTTTCTTGGCATCGCGAACTTCACGTACGAAAGACAATGCCTCAACAACAGAACGTGATATTTACTCAGCAAGAGGGTAGGCTTACTCTAGCAGTTCAGGCCTATCGTACAGGCCAGTTTAAGAGCATTCGACGCGCTGCAGCAGCCTATAACGTCCATCATCAGCAGATCTCTCGGCGGCTTCAAGGAATCACCTTTCGACCTACGACGCAGCCAAATTG